TATATATATATATATATATATATATATATATATATGTGTGTGTGTATATATATATGTGTGTGTATATATATAGTATAAAGTAAACTAAGTGCATTATCTCTAATCAGGTTGTGTCAGTTCCTCTGGACGGGTTCTTCTTTCTTGAAACGTTTCATCTTTCATCCAAAAGACTTTGAGTCTGAGGAGCTGTAACAAACTCAGTCTTATAAATACAGTGTTTCCCCTACCATTATACAAGCGAGGCGCCCCGCCCCGTTAGAACCAAGTTCCCCACACACACACACACACCCAACGGCACTGACGTAACGCTAAGTTAGTGGCGCGCAATACAGGCATGCTAGCTAAAAAGCTAATGGCAGCGCTCACGCTGCCTCTTCCCTCACGCTGAACACCCCACTCGAAAACTGCTGGTACAATCAGTGCACAGCTCAGATGCCCCCTCCCACCCCCCATCGCCAAAAATCATGGATAAGATGAGCGCACCACCATGGCAAGTTATCTAGGGGAAACATTGAAATAGCACCTTCTCGTAGTGGATCAATCAGTTTGCTGGTGACATCCAGAACTAGCTGTTCACATGTAAAAAGAGGACCATCAGCCCAATAATTGATCGTTCGTGCCCTGATGGCTGTTTGCTATTCACAGGGGGGCTGAGTGATGCTAGCAATAACAGCATTGTAAGAGGGGGACTGTTGGACAGGGACAGACAGCGCCATAAGAAATTAACGTATTTACAGAGAGAAATCGAAGATGATGATGGCGCAGCGTGGCTACACCTGCACTTAAAAGCAGTGCCGGGATAAGCTAAAGAAGTTGACAGAGCGATTAATAACCACAACGGGCGGAGTGGCTCCAACACAATGACCAGTTACAGTACCACCCACTTTGCATTGACAATCCCATCCAGAGAGCGGGGAAACAAGTCACAGCAGTAAATCACCTCCACCTGAGAAGAATCAATAAGACCAGAGCCTTGTGGAGCCACACTTATCAATGGCAAAGTGGCTATACAGAATGATCACTGGTCTGGGTTCCTCCTTTTCACCTGATGGCTGGCTGGAGTCCTGTTTGGGTTTCTTCTCTGCCTGGAAGGCCCAGTTAGAATTTGCATCGCTCCAGGGCCTGGTTTCAACAAAGAAGAATCTGTCCAGATGACCAGACTCAACTTTGTTAGATTTATCTACCTGGATTATTGAGCATGCATCAGGACATTTTAAGTGCAATATACTTATTACATTACATTTTACTTGAGATTTATTGCCTTCTTTATTGTAAAGGAGGTTGTGGACAACCAAACATTTTGGCGGACTGCTGGACAACCTGGAAAATTATCTTTATGTCAACTCCTGCTGGTGTAACCACTGAAAGAATCAAGTTAAAGTTCGCTGCTGGAGTCGCCTCTTTTCTCTTCTCCACATCAAGCTGAAGGCTGAACCTGAAATATTTTCATAAAGTTCAGAGCAATTCTTCTTATATTAGAAAATGTAATGTTTGCTTTTTTTGGTTTGATTTCACCATTTGAATGACCAGCTACAACACTTCAGCAACCGAGGAGAAGCGATGCACGCCACAGTTCACCTAGTACAACCTTAAACACAACAACCAGGGCTAAAAGAAGTGTTGATAGTCTTGAGTATTGATGGTCTGCTGTGAAAAGATTTGTGGTTAAATAGTCAAAAGGCAGAAAATATAAACAGTGATGTGTCGGTGTGTGAAGTTGTCAGACGTCAGTTTCGATTTGTGTTGTCAGGATGGAGGAGAGGAGCAGCCTCAGTCTGCTGCAGCTCCGGCTGACGAGAAGAAGAAGATTCCAGACCCCGACAGCGAAGACGTCTCAGAAGTGGACGTTCAACACATTATTGAGTAAACTCACCGCTTGCTTCGATTCTTTCTTTATAACTCTCCACACTTCAGTCACTCGTTACGTTATACAAAGATATGGTTTCTGAATGTTTTGTTCTTCCACCAGACATGCCAAGCAGGACGTAGACGATGAGTACGGCAGCGCAAGTTTCAACCGAGGCCTGCAGTCCTACTACGCTGTGGCTCACGCTGTCACCGAAAAGGTGGAGAAGCAGTCGTCGCTGTTGATTAACGGACAGCTCAAGCAATACCAGGTCACCACTGATGATGGAGAAGCATTCAGAATAAAACTGATGGTTTGATTTGTGCGAACTGGAGCTAACGTTAGCCGCTTCCTGCTCAGATTAAAGGTCTGGAGTGGCTGGTGTCACTTTACAACAACAACTTGAATGGGATCCTGGCTGATGAGATGGGTCTGGGAAAAACCATCCAGACCATCGCCCTCATCACTTACCTCATGGAGTTAAAGCGCATCAATGGGCCATTCCTCATTATCGTACCTCTCTCGTAAGTCTTGAGCATGACTACCTCAGTCTGCTCTGCGTTTTTCTATGTGGGGTAAAAAACCTCTTTCAATCAAATGTGTCTTTTGTTTTCAGGACTTTATCAAACTGGGTGTATGAGTTTGATAAATGGGCACCGTCTGTTGTGAAGGTCTCCTACAAGGTAAGAGTGACTTTGTTTTATAGTCGTCAGATACTCTCCCCTCTAAGCGTTCTACGGGTTCATGAAATGACACCAAAATAGAAAAGCTGTGCGGAAAACTAAAGTCCACACCACGATTTAATAACAAGTACTGTATTTTTTCCCTATAAGTCACGGGGGGGGGGGGGGGGGGGGTATGCCTGCGACTTATACGCTGAAACGACATATTTATGGATTTTTCCCCACATTTATAAACCAATTTTTAGCTGAGATATGACCATTTTCATTAATTCTGACTGAAAATTTTGAACACTACCATTTTTTTTGCCGCTAGATGGAATCAGAGTAGTAAGGCATGCTGTTGTATCATGTAATAGGTAAAAGTGGTTATTAATGACAAATTCAAAAAAGTTCAAGACAAAAACAATTGGACTTTATTTATTATACTTTATAATTTATTGCTTTTGTCTTGAACTTTTTTGAATTTAACATGTCCTGGATGACTGAGAATCTTCACCAGCTATTAATGATATAATCAGCTTGCCATAGAGTCCCACCTTCGTTCTGCTCGCTGCTTGGAGCAATCGTCAAATCAGCTTCATTTCGCTGCGCCGCCCCAGTGAAATGCAGCTGATTTAACCATTAAAGTGCATTTATTAAGTAAAGGTTCAACTGAGGCACACCTTTACTATTATTTTGAGAAAACAAATAATTGTTTTCGGTGCTTATCTTGTTAAATTTCGAAGAAATGCGCAGCATTCCTCCTTCCTTTTTTCCTCCCTGTCTGCGTGTTCCTGGAGCACCATGGCAGCGAATACTTGTGAAATGCAGCTGATTTGACCGTCAAAGTGCATTTATTAAGCAAAACGTAGACTGAGACACACCTTTACTATAATTATGAGCAAACAAATAATTGTTTTTAAATGTTAATCTTGTTAAATTCTTGTTAAAATCCTCCCGAGCATCCTGCTGCCGCCATTTGGCAGCCGATCAATTTTTGGCACAACACCGGCCCACATTTCTGGGTTGTCAGTGGTGACACGTATCAAACGTGACGTCATAATATATGCGACATATACGGCGAAGAGACATATTTATGGATTTTTCCACTTTATTAGACATATTTGGACTGATGTGACTTATAGGGCGGTGCGACGTGTACGGTGGAAAATACGGTAGTTGTTTTTCTGCATATTATTGTAGTTTTCTCTCACGTGGTTGTGAAGAAATTTTGCCCCACTTTTGTTTACATTGTTGCTTCAGTTCGTTGAGGACTGCAGACATTCTGCTCGGGTCCCTTTAGGATCCACTGCAGCATCTCAGGCAGGCTGAGGTCTGGATCCTGATTGGATCTTTGTAACACCTTGATAGTTTTTACTTACTTTTCTTTTTCAGTCAATCGGTTTTACTGCTGTTTTGTCCTGTTTCATGACTCAGTTTGGTCTAAACTTCAGCTGTTGGACGGATGTCCTCATCGTTTGATCTGCAGAGGAGTTCATAAACTGAGATATACGCTAAACAAATACAAAATTGTACACTAAAAGATCTAAGATATACGCTAGTCACTAATAGTGCAAAACAATACACTAAACAACAGCAGCACGAACATGAGTCTGTGTGATCAGATGAGGACAAATGAATGCAACATGAAATAATCAGCATGAGATCAGCAGCATGGATCAGCAGCACATATCAACAATCAAAGTTGCATTACAGTGATTTTTTTTTTTCGCTGTGATAATCCTGACCCTGAATTGTGCTGCAATGTTCTTTTTAGAGTGAAAAGGTGTTCTCCAGAAACTCCTCCTGATATGTCAGGCTCGTTCACTGTTTTAATTCGCCTGTCATGAACTTTAACCTTTGACCTGCTAGCTGAGGCCTAGAGTTTAGGATGGAGTTCTTGGGGTTTTTTGTCATTTCACCAGAGGATTGCTCGGTCTGACCTTGACGGGAATTTGCCTAAAAGTGCATTCTGGGGAAGATAGTCATCTGTCTTAAATGTTTTCTTGCAGAATGTTCTTGTTTTCTCTAAATAATCTTGTCTTGAATTTATACTTGAGGCTAGATTTTAATAATTCATAACCTGACAAACACCAGATAATTTTTTATGTCCTGATATGTAGAACTCAGTTGAATGACTTTAAACTATTGAGTGTTTTGCTCAGTGTCGTTGTCACAGCAATGAATGTTGTTTCAGTGTAATTCTATATTTTTCCTCAGTGGGTATAATTAGTCGTGTCTCTCATCGTAATCTAAAGAGCAACTGTTTGATTTCAGGGATCTCCAGTTGCTCGTCGAGCTTTTCTTCCAATTTTACGAAGTGGGAAGTTCAACGTGCTGCTTACCACGTACGAGTACATTATTAAAGACAAACAAGTGTTGGCGAAGGTAACGAGTCTCAGCTGATTGACTCATATTCTGCTGATTAAAGTCATTATTAACATAATCTTAATTTACAATATGTTCTTCCCACAGATCCGCTGGAAGTACATGATAGTGGATGAGGGTCACCGTATGAAGAACCACCACTGTAAGCTGACTCAGGTCTTGAACACGCACTACTTGGCCCCACGGCGGTTGCTGCTCACAGGAACGCCGCTGCAGAACAAGCTGCCGGAGCTCTGGGCTCTGCTCAACTTCCTGCTGCCCACCATCTTCAAGAGCTGCAGCACCTTTGAGCAGTGGTTCAATGCTCCCTTCGCCATGACTGGAGAAAAGGTGAGCTGGAGACAGACTAACTTACTTATTGAGAGACTGAGCTGTTCAGACTTTCTAACAGTTTTTTTTCCTCTCAACTCAAGGTCGACCTGAATGAAGAGGAGACCATCCTGATCATCCGACGTTTACACAAAGTGCTTCGACCATTTTTGCTGCGCAGGCTCAAGAAGGAAGTGGAGGCTCAGCTGCCGGAGAAGGTTAAACTGTTTCCTAAAAATTTAATTACTGCATCATGTTACTGTGTAACATAGATTCTAAAGGTATAAGTCAGTGTTTCTAAACTACATTTATATGTTTGAACATGACCTGTAGTTTGTATCTTGTAAAAAAGAAAAGACTTCAGTAAATTTCTCAGAAAGTTGAACTTTAATTTGGTGAAATATGCACTAATACAGTCGTCACTCGCTACTTCGCAGTTCGTTTTTCACTGACTCACTCTATCGCGGTTTTTCAAAGTAAAATTGGACATGACACACAACTGGCTGATTGATGGAGCCGCACGATCAGCATTGATTTTTTTATTTAAAATAAATCATTTTAAATTATTTAGCACCTGTGTGCAGCCCACAGCTGCAAGAAGCTTCCTCCTGCAGCTGATCAGCTGATCTCCATGCAGAGCGGAGAAGTGGGCGTGACCAAGAATGCAGCCAGAGGCAGAGAGCTGAAATCATGAAATTCTGTGTGTTTAGAGTTTAGAAATATTGTTTAGAATATTGCAAGAGTATGGGACAGGTTTAAAATGCCTTTATATATATATATATATATATAT